CATTATCGCTTTCTTAAAACCACATAAAATCGTATTCTGACATCGATAGAGATAAAATATAAAACGAAACATTACATCGATATGTATTTCGCTGTATTGCGTGAGTACTTTCTAGTAGTAGAAAAAAAATATGTTTATATATATGATATTGAGATTTGTCGTCATAAGTCACGCCTTGAAAAACGCCATGATCTCGTCGTGCCTTTTAAAGCTTGAGGCTTGACCTCGCCGCCACGTCACGCCTCACACTATTTAGAACCTTGACTCATAGAATTAAAAAAACACAATTTTATTATTAAATATAAATCATATCATTTATTAGATATTTCAATATCAAAAGTGTTTTATTTTTTTTAAACTCGAGACAATTTGCATATACCTCAACTAATTTTAAGAGGCTCTAAAGTTTACAACCAAGTAAACCGATAGTGGGTTTGGAATCTAAAGGGACTGAAATCGATGACCATCAGGAAGTAAACCAAAATCTCGACATTGAAATTATGACAATGACGTTTAAAAGCGATAGAGTATTGATTTACAGTGGAACAATGAGGAAGATAGAAATAATCTTCAGATTTCATAGATCTAAATGACGATAAATAAAAAAGCGTGAAACATTGTTTGATACGTACGAAATATTAGAGAAACGTGAACAAAATATTTGGCATATTGCAAACAGTTTCGACAAAAAGAAAACTTGATTCTCCGTTATGGTATTTATTTGTCGTACGATTGATCTGAAAAACGACACCTAATCTCACATGAGCTTCTTTTTGGCTTCAATTTTAAAGGGAGAAGGGAAATCTTTCGAATTTGACATAGTTTTACTTTTCACAAAAGTAAGAATATTGGGTTTTGTTTTGATACTGCAAACAAGTTTTTACATGCATATGTCTTTAAAGAGATTTGAGCTCGTACTTTTAAAATGTCGGAATGACTTGATTGCTACTTAACTGAATAATTAAAACTGATTAAACCGACACTAATTTGATTAAGTTATCAAATAGTTTATAGAAAGTCGAAAACCCAGATCGAATAATGTCACGCCCCGATTTTTTTTTCTTTTCTTTCATTCGAGTGTCGTGACGTCATTCTTAATAACTTATGTTATGAACAAAAATACGAACTTAAAATTTCAAACACACATAATATGTATAACATAATTCGTTACATAATTGTGGAAGCGTAAAATACTTTAACATAATCAATGCTAATTAAAATATCTAATCAAGCATGATTCAAAAAAACATAGTCCCGTCTTTCTTCATTCACTCGTTTACTGACAAATGTCACATGAGATATATACATGTATAGTATAAGCAAAAAGATTAGTGAATACAATATGGTTTCATGAACACATGCACACACAAAACAGTGTTTTAGCGTATTTTAATTATTATCTTGCAAGTGAGGCATCGGCTCGTCACTTTTCTTTGCGTATATGGTGTATTCTATGGACGAGGACTTCAAGACCTCGGAATTGCAAACCCTCCTTTCATGTCCAACCCACCTCGTACGGTGGACGAATCTTGCCGAATCATACTAGTTGCATATCATTTATTTGCAATACTCACTCATTAATGCAAATCTCATCGTGACATGCAACATACATCTCATGCAAGTGACAACATAAATCACATATGCATCATCGTCATTTTTTTCACATTATACACATACTTGAATATCATATTGATAATAACAAGTCATCATAATCTTTCTCATCAACATCACCTTTCATATCATGCATATATTTAAATATCATGCACATCAATATAATCAAGTTATCATCAATACATATAAACATATCATGCATATATCATGGATAAAATACTTTTGTAATAATCATATATATATCCCATAAAAATCGCATAATGTACTCACCTGATAACGRAGATTGYTTAACTAACGTCGCTGACTGGTAACCTACAATTTATAATAGCAAATAGCATAAAAATGATTAATTTCTCCCAAAGGCTAACATAAAAGTCAACTTATGGTCAACTACGTCGGCTAGGGTCA